TTTTTTCTAGTACAAGCTAATTGTCGACATTGTGGTGTGAAGATGGATACTGCGCATAAATGTACCGGGGCGTAAAAGTTAATGTATGTTGAAAATTCTTTGTGATAGCGTTTGTTGCAGGAAGTGGTGCAGCAAAACGATGAGCTACGCGTTGAAGTGGAGCAGCTTTCATCGGCACTCTCCTCGGCAACCACATTCATCAAGGACACCACCGAAAATTATACAGCACTTCGTGAACAGCTAATCGAAAGCGATCGCATTATTGATCGTTTGACGACTGATAACGAGCTACTCACGAAAAAAGTAAAACAATTTGTTTTCTTCAAGAACTTATTGTTGAATTTTCACGTTCTTGTGTTTTGTAGTGATTGATAAATTTTGACTCTACAGTAGCTAATCTTGATATGTAGTAAGTTGGAACTAATAAAAACTATCCCCGGCCTGTAATATAATCCTTGAGAAAGTGATAAGCAACTACTCTCTTCTAGCTAGGCAAATCCTCTGCATGTATTGGAATGCCAAAAATCCCAAGATCACTTGGCGTCAAGGCGAATATCCCATGTTAGTGATGTTACTGAGATGCTCCCTTACGCTACGTGCAACTACGCCAAGCCTTTTGATCCTGGACTGTATACCTGCAGTTAATACCCGCCGTCTGATCGATGTCTGTTTGCTACTTCTTCGGGGATCACTTATGTATTTAGACTGGAAAATAGGCAGCTTGAAAGTAGTGGGTCTAGATTTTCAACAGCTGGCTCAAGATGGTGCAACCTGAGCTTGGATAAATTCTTCGAGAAAAACACAGAGATCGAGATTTTACAAGTTGCTCATTTTAATGTGGTGAGGGGAGCCAGTTATGCTTAAAATCATGTGTAACTACAAATGCTTTTTCAGCTTGAGGATGAAAAAGCAACAACAGTGGACAAGCTGGAAAGTAATGGTGAAAGTTCGCTTCAACAGTACAAGGTTTAGCATTTTCGATAAATTGCTACTGATGGCGTTTGACGTAGTTTTATTGGAGAATCGCTGATAATTCCTTCAGAAAGCAAAGGAGAACATTAGAATCGCCAAAGGGCTGATCGTTAGGCGATGTAGCACTGGCTATAGCAATTGGAAAAGTTGCTAAAATAAAAATATGAATTATTCAGTTGCTCCAACTATTCCAGATGTTCTACTGAGATGGAAAAACTGGAGGCAAAAAGCTGGGGTGTAAGGAAGAGAGTGAAGATGCATTAGTTTCTAGGGACGAAAAATGGGAGGAATTTGTAAAGACTGTGTCCTCGTCTGAAATGCTACATTTCCTTCTCAAAATGTAGCATTTCAGACGAGGACACAGTCTTTACAAATTCCTCCCATTTTTACCATTCCCTAAGAATTTTCATTTCGTCCTAAATTTTTCGGAGTATGGGAGCTTCTACAGTCAGTTGTAAGCACCTTCTGGATATGTGCAGCTAATTGCAGGATCTGCTTCGAGACAAGGACGATCAAATCGAGGCGCTGCAGCAGAAATTCGAAACATTACAGGTTATTATCATTCTCAACCAATACTTCGTGGGTATTCATTCGAAAAAAAATTTTTTT